TGAATATGACCGACAGCAAACCATATTCCCAAGCTGTCCAGAGATATGAGCGAGCATTTATACAACCCCGAGTTTCGGTCTGTTTATCGACTAGAATATAAAATCCTTCCAGATTCGCGTATGGCGAATCTTTTGCTGTCTGTGTGAAAAAAAAGAGTATATAATATATAATCATTTTCATTTACTATATATAGAAAAATTTAATTATATTATTTAATTAATCAATTATAATATTGTTATCTTTCATATTCTTATAATTTAATTGTTTATAGTAAACGCGATACAGGTTTTGAAATCTCTACGGCTTAAAAATGATACACAAAGACTTATGTAAATATGATTGTACTTAGAAGACTTCTATTTTAAATTGCTACGATTAAAAATAAGAAAATAGTTCTTCGAAGATTAATTTTTATGACTACAAATAGATTCGTAAAATGTATATATATATATATACATTTCACGAATCTATTTGTAGTCATAATGATTAATTTTCGAAGAACTATTTTCTTATTTTTAAATGATAAAAATTTATTTCGTTTCTCCTTCTTTTCGAATCTTTATATTTCAAACTAGGAGATTAAATATTAATATATTTTGGATTAAATATTAATAAATTGCTAAAACATATTAATATTTAATCGCCTAGTTTGAAATATAAAGATTCGAGAAGAAGGGGAAACGAAATAAATTTTTATCATCTTCAAAAGTAAGCTGTCAGAACTGATATAAAATACTGAAATATAAATGTAAGTAAAATTAACATGTAATTTAGGCTATTGAAATTAAAAATAATTAAGTGCACGCGTATTTGAATATCAAATTTGTTTTTCTAAGAAATAAATCCTCATATAATGAAACTTTACTATATTTACTATATATTTTCGACTTATTTTTTTATATGGAATCATCTTCCTTTTGTATTATCAGTTTTGAGGCATTCGATATCATTGTACATATTTTTTCATAAAATTTTACATTTTTTAAATTGTTTATTTACCTGTAAAAGAGCTCGCAAGAGGGGTTGAGAAGATGTCACTAACACGGAACGATGCGCTCGAGGAAAATTCATGAAATTGTAATTCATAAACATTAAATCGGAGTATCTTGACAGGATAAATTTCCGGAGGATATCAAATCGAAGATGTGTTTCATCTATCAATGCTACGGGTATCATATTATTATGTGAGTGTACAAGAAATTCATTATAATCTCCGCCCAGCAGTAAAGTCAAATGAGATTCCTTTGGTAGACATCTCATTAAAGTAAATACCTATGAAATTAATACAAAATTACAATAATAGGGAGAGAATATTTCGAGATAATTTTATTACGTACTTACAAATAAAGAAGGAATAATTTTTTTCGACAAGTTTATAATGATATTTTGTTATATGTGATAATTTGTTATAATTATATATAATAATAAACGTGTATGATGCAGATAGGGTCGTTTTTATAACATGTAAAAATATTTCATATTTTTATCTCGTACATTTTCTTTGAAAATTAACTTACCGATGTTACTAAATCTGTATAGAAAGGCAGTTTTTTTGATGATGCAACATCATTATTAATAGTAAGAGAAAATGTGCTTACAATTAATAACGAGAAGAGAACACAAAGAGACACGTTCGACATACTTTCGAAAATTTTACTATGCAAACAATAGAATATTAAACTCTTGAGAATAAATTCGAAGAAGAGAATCGAATGTCAGGCATATCTATAATATCATGCTTTTATAATAATTACGTAGTTGATCGATAGTATTTAGATAAGCGCACGTGTGTATATATGTCATATTTAAGACATATTTTCATATGATCATAAGTTAATTCTTTTTTCTTGTATTAATGTAGTCGTTCTATTATTTCACAGTAATTATATGATAGCCTGACAAATAATAAATGATAAATGCGATTCGCATTTTCATCTGTTTCTGATAAAGGATAATAAATAGCATCACATTTTGTGGGAATATAATTACATATAATTTCATATAAATGTTACGCCCGCTAAATTATAGACATACGGAAGCGAGGTAATATCTTGATAGAGTAAATGATATCGTACAACATATGTATATGCGTTTGTGTGTTTTCGTGGTGCGCGTGTTTGCATAGCTATATTGTAAATAAAAATGTTATTGTGATGTAAATTATAATATTAAAAATCAAGAAATATTTCTCTAGCAGCAGAAACTTTCAAGTGAGGCGTAAATGTGGATTTGAAAACTTTTGTATTAGACAATCGTCTAGTTTATACACACTGTATTAAAAAATATGTTTATATCAGGCTACAAATAATTATAAGTAAATTGAATTCTGATCGATTTGATCAGAATTAATAATGACATTTATTAATGACATTCTTAACGAATCATTGAATAAAGATCGACATTGGAGATACAAGGGTAAATTGGAAAATTGGAAGAATAATAGTAGGCAGGATTAACGAAACAAAACGAAAAAATCGAAGAATATACATGTAAATGACAAATCGCACTAAAGAGAGACCAAGTTACATCGTTTAATGAGCTGTAATTCATTTTAATTGTTAATTATTGTATTAAATTGTAATTTATTTAATTAAGTTGTAATTCATTTAATTAAATTGTAATTTATTTAATTAAATTGTAATTTATTTAATTAAATTGTAATTTAATTAATTGTATTAAATGGTAATTGTTAATTATTGTATTATTGTGTTAAATAAATCGTCCTTTGTCGGCGTGCTCTTTTTTTGTTTTTCTTTCGCGTGATTTCGCCTCTATGATCTCGCTTCTTTCATTCTCTCGATTACAACGAAGAGCTTTCGGCTTCGTTTTGGTATTTTATGAGCGTCTGATCGGATATCTTTCCTTATTTTTTACGCTCGCTTTGTTTTTCTCTGATATAAATATCTCAATAAATATCCTTTTACTTTTATCATACATATTTAATTATATATAATTATTATAATTTAATATTTAGTAATTTAATCAGATATAATAACTATAATTTAATAGTATATATTTCCGTATTGCGAGATGCACGTTATAGCGAATACAAAGATATTAATAAATAAAAGATATTAATATATAAAAGATATTTAAAAATTAATTGAATTTTCTTAAATATTAATTATTTTTATACTTTTAAAATAATAGCACTATTAAAATAATTTAATAAAAAGATTATAAGTTAAACAATCATTAAATATCCTAATAAATATCTTCATTAAATATCTCAATAAATATCCTTTTACTTTTATCATACATATTTAATTATATATAATTATTATAATTTAATATTTAGTAATTTAATCAGATATAATAACTATAATTTAATAGTATATATTTCTGCATTGCGAGATGCACGTTATCGCGAATACAAAAATATTAATATATAAAAGATATTTAAAAATCAATTGAATTTTCTTGAATATTAATTATTTTTATACTTTTAAAATAATAGCGCTATTAAAACAATAATTTAATAAAAAATTATTTAATATATTATAAAAGACTATAAGTTAAACAATCATCATTAAATATCCTAATAAATATCCTTATTAAATATCTCAATAAATATCCTTTTACTTTTATCATACATATTTAATTATATATAACAACTATAATTTAATATTTAGTAATTTAATCAGATATAATAACTATAATTTAATAGTATATCTTTCCGCATTGCGAGATGCACGTTATCGTGGATACAAAAATATTAATATATAAAAGATATTTAAAAATCAATTGAATTTTCTTGAATATTAATTATTTTTATACTATTAAAACTATTAAAACTATTAAAACAATAATTTAATAAAAAAATATTTAATATATTATAGAAGATTATAAGTTGAACAACCATCATTAAATATCCTAATAAATATCCTCATTAAATATCTCAATAAATATCTTTTACTTTTATCATACATATTTAATTATATATAACAACTATAATTTAATATTTAGTAATTTAATCAGATATAATAACTATAATTTAATAGTATATCTTTCCGCATTGCGAGATGCACGTTATCGTGGATACAAAAATATTAATATATAAAAGATATTTAAAAATCAATTGAATTTTCTTGAATATTAATTATTTTTATACTATTAAAACTATTAAAACAATAATTTAATAAAAAAATATTTAATATATTATAGAAGATTATAAGTTGAACAACCATCATTAAATATCCTAATAAATATCCTCATTAAATATCTCAATAAATATCTTTTTACTTTTATCATACATATTTAATTATATATAACAACTATAATTTAATATTTAGTAATTTAATCAGATATAATAACTATAATTTAATAGTATATCTTTCCGCATTGCGAGATGCACGTTATCGCGAATACAAAAATATTAATATATAAAAGATATTTAAAAATCAATTGAATTTTCTCGATTAATTATTTTTATACTTTTAACATAATAGCACTATTAAAATAATTTAATAAAAAGACTATAAGTTAAACAATCATCATTAAATATCCTCATTAAATATCTCAATAAATATCCTTTTACTTTTATCATACATATTTAATTATATATAACAACTATAATTTAATATTTAGTAATTTAATCAGATATAATAACTATAATTTAATAGTATATCTTTCCGCATTGCGAGATGCACGTTATCGCGAATACAAAAATATTAATATATAAAAGATATTTAAAAATCAATTGAATTTTCTCGATTAATTATTTTTATACTTTTAACATAATAGCACTATTAAAATAATTTAATAAAAAGACTATAAGTTAAACAATCATCATTAAATATCCTCATTAAATATCTCAATAAATATCCTTTTACTTTTATCATACATATTTAAATATATATAACAACTATAATTTAATATTTAGTAATTTAATCAGATATAATAACTATAATTTAATAGTATATCTTTCCGCATTGCGAGATGCACGTTATCGCGGATACAAATAACGCGGCGCGGTGTAAGTGCCCGGTGATGATCGCGGCGTAACGGATAAGGCCAGGTATCAGCTGATGATTCGCGGCGAGGCCGCGGTAGAGCCACGTAAGACGGAGCACACGCTTATTACACGCGTAATTTGAAAAAGCGCGTATACAATAGGCGAGTGTGTACGAGAGACGAACGCGATTCGGCGACGCGCAGTCCTCCAGTCCCATCGAGATATCAGCATCGGATGTGTAGCTGAAGGGCCAGCTGAGAGAACGCAACTGTCATTTCCGTCGTCACGTGGAATTAAACGCTGGCATCCGAACACTCATATCGGTTAGATGACGGCGCGGCGCCGTGGCTTGACAGGTCATGGGGGCCTGTCTCGGCCACTGCTTAACGAGAATTACAGATTCCGTGCCGTACAGGTTAGAAACTGGATTGCACTCCTCTGACAGAAACGCTATTAACAGAAAATACTCGTGATGATGGCAAGGAAAAAAAATAATAATAATTATTTTATTGAACTGGAGAAAGGATTTTTACATTTTGATTTTTAAATACGCTTAAGGGACAACGCCTTGATGACTCATTGTCAGTACTATAGTTGCATGACCTCATAATTGGATTGATACTGCTATAGATGAATGAAAAGTTAGCCCAAATGTATATCGAGTCTCTTGTTCTAATCATTAAATCTTTTCTAGTGATTTATCGTAGATATTATAAAGGGTATATTTGTTAAACCCCAATGTATCTTGTTCTTGTATTATTTCCTTGCGCTTTGTTGTGCGTTACAGATTCTATCGAAGGCATACCAGAATGCCTTTTCCAGAAGAAGAACAAGCTGAGGTACATATTGAAATTTTCTTTCACAAACTATACTTTTATCGGCATGAATAATTTTGATGTTATCGTTTATGCTTAGTTCATGGACGCTGAAGAACATGAAGACCAAACTAAAAGATCAAAAAGGTATAAGAATCGAATCTTTTAACTTTTAATTCTAATTAAAAATTGATATTAAAATTGGTATTAATGTTACATTTATTCATGCTTCCTGGATATAGTCTGTTATCATTTCTTTCTTTAAAAAGATTCAAGGTAAAGGCATATATTTTATGTATTTCACCTAGTATGTAAAAATAAAGATATATATAAGGGCTATTTCTCAGAGTTACATGAACTGGCAATATTGCACATTATTATGATAAGAGTCAACAAATCAATATCAATTTTATAAGTTTTCAGAATTTTATATCTTTTTCTAGAATACCTAGAATAATTTGAGAAACATATTTATTACTTTTACTTTACAATAAATATTTTAATTTATGCAATAAGATTTGAATTATAGAAAAAGCACGGGGTTCCAGTGACCTTAGAATTATTGGAAGATGGAGGATGGTCACGAGGTGGTAATAAATATGCCAGATTGAGTTCTAGAAATGATGTTTCTACAAGGTAGACTATATTTTTCTTTAATTTTGCTAGTTTATGAAATTAAATTTTATAAAATCTAAAGAATTATATTTAGCTCTGGACTGGATACACCGCTTCAAGTTCTCGATGCAAGAACATTAATGAAACAACAAACTTATGTTTCTTCTACTCCAGGATCATCGCTCGATCTTGAGTGGGAACACGAAGGTAACTTGTATCATTACATCATTTTTCTAAATATATTTGCATAATATACAAATAAATTGTACTTGCAGGAATGCCTTTACCAATTCTGAACAATGGAAAAGAAAATACAGAGAATTCTTTAACACAAACATCAATTAACAATAGTCAACCATCTAGCTTGACATCATCTCCTTGGTCCAGAGTTTCAAGCCCAAACAGTTTAGAATGGGATCCAGTAGAATCAGATATGGTATGTGTCGATATGGAAACTGAACAACTTTTAACTGAGATAGAAAGATTAACAGATAGAGCTCTAAAAGAAACAGGCGACTGGACTAACACTAATACTAGCTGATAAACGATTTAATTATAATCAACGGAATTGTTTGTATTTTTGTATTATGAAAATTCATTATAAAATTAAAATAGATGCCCTATACTTTCGAGAGATACAAAGAGATATTATTTCGATATTACGATTCTTGAAACAATATAACTGTGTTTATATTGTTTCAAAGATGTGTATTTTTTGTACGACTTAAAATATATATTGAGCACAAAAATTTGATGAGGATATCTACGTTGTGCATAGCGTGTCTTATAATAATCTCTAACATGGAAAAGAGGAATAATGTCAAGCTATCAAATCAAGGACACCTTCTCGCAGTATATGCATATGTATGATATTGTATACATAAAATAAAAGATATATTTCTTGTTTTAAATTTTAAGTCTTGTTTTACATTTTAGGCAAAATATTTGCTTGCTTAATTATATGCTGAAATTAAATTTTTGCAATGAACTTAAGAAACATTAACATTTTTACTTTCGCTATTACCTTACACACAGCTTCCATATGACAATAAATTATTTACAAATAAAATGTGCCACAATATTCTTTAAATTCTTTTAATATATATGCACTCGAAATAATTTATTTCAATACGAGATAATATATATGCAAATAATAAATTGTGCTTAAATTACATGCAAATATATGTATACTCTTTTAACATATTTTTTACATGTGGTTTTCAAGTTATTGTAAAATGGTAGTGAATTTTAAAATACTGAATTTTAAAGATGCTGATATTGAATTTAATACCTTAAAAGATATATATAATTTAAAATACATACACTTCAACAGATCAAATAATTAAAAAAATAAACAAAAAATGTACAAAAAAGAATTATATTTTATTGTAATGGAGAGCACATAATGTAGAACTATCTGATACAATTAAACGATAAATATAGAATGCCTTAATATAAATAATAAAGAAATTGTAAAGTTTTATAGCTTATGATTCTGTTATCTTTATATATTTCTTTTAGTATAATTGTAATGCATCTATATACAACTTTTTTTTTTCTATTTTTGCAACATATATACACGACCTAAATGTGACTCACATAGATTTAATGTTTTAATAGACATTTTTTAAATAAATTTAATAGATTTAATTTTTTTCTTTTCCAATTATTTGGGTGCTAGGAATGAATATTTTCGAAAAATTGTCATATCATCAATTCAAAGTAATAAAAAGGTGTTATAATTAAATAAATGTAAAAGCGGATGTGGAATTGAGAAATATTATTATACATGGACTGTAATGAATGTTAAAAAGTAATATGTTTATATATGCTTTAATAAATAGTTACTTTATTATATTTCTATGTACATACAAAAAATCAATTTAGACAATACCCTGCTCTAAATTTTCTTTCTCTAACAGATTATATTACACATTAAATTTTATTACAGTGTGGCTATACACATATGAAAAGTGTACGAAAGCTATAGAATTACACGTATCTCTGTATAGCTTAAATGTTTATTACAAAATATTATTATATTAGGCGATATTGCACAATATAATTTACTGATGGAAAATAATAAAATATACTGATTTTAATTATAAATACGAATATATTTGTCTATGTAGGCAGCACAGAAAGATTCCAAGATAATAATTATTAAATGATTAAAGTTAACAAGAAGTATATTATCAGTGACAACTAATTTAAATTTATATTATTAAAATTTCGAATTAGTGTGTTGTATTCATGTGATTTATTTTTCAATACTATAATTAACAAAAGCGACTAGTAGTAAATATACTAAATTAATAATATTGACTGAAAGAATTTATAGAATATAAGTGCAGATTCTAAAAGAACGAAAAATATAGATATGTATTAATATATATTAATGCATACTTTCGTTCTGTGTTATATATGTTTTTATGAAATTCAGACAGTTTGTATTATATACGAATCTGATTGGTTTTCTGTCTTATAAGGATATCCATAAAACATGTATAAAATTTATTTTATTTTCAAGACATATTTTTGTCCTTCAAAAAAGAATGAGTTAAACGAGAAATAATCGTCGTAAGATTAACAGAATAATTGCGGATACTAATGAGGCGATAAGAATACTCCAAAATAAATCGTTCGAAGAGGACATTGTCTCTACACGATTTAGAATAATATCAGGTTGTTGACGATCTGCATTTTCCGTCCAAATCGTTTCCACGTTACGTTGTCGTACTTCGCTCTCGGGTAAATTTGCCGTACTATCCGCGAAAGATACTTCTGATGTAGGTGAATCATCGGCCTACAATATTTTTTAAAAATATCTCCATATAAGTTTTTGCTTTAAAATGAGATAGAGAATTTTGAACGATTTTTTTAATTACACAATAATTATAAATAATGCAAAAATCACTTTCATATTTAAAATAATATAATTTACCTTTAGGGCAATTGTATTCAGCATGGTTTGCTCTTCCTCAGTAATAGGTTTTTTAACTGAGTTCTTGGACAATAAATTCACAACCTTTCCACACGTATCACATTGCCAGTTCAGTGATCTGGAATCAATCAATTAGATAAGAATATGACTGTTTGCGATGTTATATTTAATCACGAGTTATATCAATACTTTTTGGCAAGCTTTTGCCGTTCCTCAGTACTGTAATCTAATGCGCCAATGGTGCCGCTTCCTGGAGTAGGCATGAAAGCTATCAGAGCCAACAGTGCTGTTCTAATACTCCACGATGGTTGCCACGTCTCAGGATGATGGCCAGAAATACTCAGACATATTTTCTTGTTCGTTTCAAAACGCCCGTTTGGCTAAATCAAAAGTACACGTAGCGCTGTCACGATACTGCACAATTTATATATCGCATCTAGTACCTGGATACATCTACTTACTGTCAACAAAATGATATTCGGTGGTTTCATAGGATACTCTGGTGGCAGTAAGATCCTTCCATGATACACCCCACCCTCAAAATCCGTAGAAGGTGGTCCTTGCACCGTAAAGTGCCATTCGAATAAGTTGTCCTCGAGAGGAGATGCATAATACTCTTCGGTGGCTTCGTGCAACTCTTGAGCCTCCCTCATTAATCTTTTCACCGCTGAAATGTACAATACAAGACTTTTATGATACTTCAGATATCATTTGCGCTATTCATACCACATAATGTCCATTAGCATATGCATGAGGTGTCTAACGTCAATGTGCAAAACATTTAGTCTCGGATATTAGCAATTAATGATCGGATTACGAATATGCAACAGCTTTATGGAAATGTATGAAAATTACGCGAGAGCAAAAACAATAAAGGACACCGGCGCGATTAGCATATCATCGATACGTGGACTCACCCGGACTCTTGGCGTTGTACTTGCCCTCGAATGACATTTTCGCATACGGCGGCTTTTCCTTTGTCCTTCTAGTTTTCCTCCTCGACACCTCCTACCTCATTCGCTTCCCCAGAAGCGCAGGTTACAAATCGAGATGGGGAAAGTAAACGTCAAAATACACGACGCGTCTTCCTCGGACGCTGATTCACGTCAACGCGCACGACCCGAAGAGCGCGTTCTCTTTACATATTTATTGTATCGTCGTCGACGGGAACGGCCGCGAGGTGACTTTCGGCGTCGCGTCAAGCCTTCTCGACGTGGAGCAACCGCGCGTCCACCGCCTCGCGAGATGCAATGGAACGTTAACTCGATGGGCTCGCGCGCGATCGCGCTCGCGCTCGAGTTTATCGTGATTGCCCCGCGAGCCCCGCAACCTTGCGCGCCAGACGGGGGGAAAGATCTCGTCGGTGAACTTTAATAAATTCCTCGGCCGATCGACCGTCCACCCTTTATACACGCATCGTGATTTGATTCATTTTTCATTGCTTACAAACAATGCGTCGAATGAAAAAAAAATATTATTAATAATAAAATTTAATAATAGAAAAAGAATATTTTTTTTAAATGAAGATTTATATAGGATGTATTTTTTGAGAAAAAATTCTGTGCTTGTCGAAAATCTTACTCGTGCTTTATTTGAATCCTTTATACACGCATCGTGATTTGATTCATTTTTCATGGCTTACAAATGATGCGTCGAATGAAAAAAAATATTATTAATAAAAAATATTAATAATAAAAACAGAATATTTTTTTAAATGAAGATTTATAAGGATGTATTTTTTTGAGAAAAAATTCTGTGCTTGTCGAAAACCTTACTACTGTGCTTTATTCGAATCCTTCATACATGCATCGTGATTTGATTCATTTTTCATGGCTTACAAATGATGCGTTGAATGAAAAAAAAATTTATTTATTATTTATAAAAAGATATTAATAATATAAAAAGAATATTTTTTTAAAATGAAGATTTATAACAGGATGTATTTTTTGAGAAAAAATTCTGTGCTTGTCGAAAACCTTACTCGTGCTTTATTTGAGTAATTTGATTTTTAAATGAATAATGTAAATAATAATAATAATATATTTTAATTTATATGTATAATCAAAATTATACAGGGTGTCCCAAAACTTATAATCAATTTTTCAAAGACAGATTCCTGGGATCATCTGAAGACGATTTTTCCTCAACGAAAATGTCGAGGCACTAATAATTTTCGAATTATAAGTGATTGGAAATAAGGGGTTTTTCGTAAACTAAGCTTTGTAGAAATAAAATATTAACAAAACCACATTCTTCGATTAATTTTAAATAAAGTTTACTTTAGTTGAGTTTTAATTTAAGGCTTAATTGCAAAGATATATGATGACAAAAATCGAGAACATGCAAAAAATGATGGCCTTCATCGACATTTTTGCTGAGGAAAAATCGTCTCCAAAAAATGATCCCAGGAATCTATCTTTGAAAGATTGATTATGAGTTTTGGGATACCTTGTATAAGCTTGTTTTTGCATACATAATGCATATGTCATATACGTATAGATAGTAAATATATTATTTTCATATGTTTTTCGTAATTCTTCAGATTGCAGATATTTAACTTTGATTAATTTCGCTCGTTCTTTCATAAATTGCCTCATCTCATTTTTAATAAAAAATTTATATATAAGTATAATTTATTAAAGATGAGAGACTCTGATAAGATAATTTATCTAGAAAATTACAACAATAACAAAATTAACAAAATTAATCAAAATTAATCAAAGTTAAGTGAGATATATATCTATACTCTCAAATATTAAAAATATGTGAAACTAATATATTTATTATTGTATATATTTTAATAACATATATTTATATATTTAAAATATGTCTAAAAAAAAGAAAAATTGTCTTCAAGTAACTTTTATTGTAACTTTAGAAAAATTTCAAATGTTATATTTATTTTAAGTAAAAATAAAAAATCATATTGAATATAAAATTTTAATGTGTTGTGTTTAAATATATATATATATATATAATATATACATATGTTTTTAAGTATATAACTTTCTCATCCCAAATTCTTACAATATTTTCTGTACATTAAAAACTATTCTGCACATTTAATCTTTGAGAAACCAAAAATCTCGCGATTTATTTCTAATAATTCCTAATAAAATTCTAATATTTCTAATAAATAATTAAACACAGACATGTTTCTCCAGGACAAAAGTTTCCCCTAATAATATTATTCCCCATAAAGGCAAACATTTACACAATCTTAATTATATTTTAATTTTTCACAACACTTCTGTCAAGAATGATAAGTGTCCAAAGATGGGAGAAGCAACACATCATACGAGAGCTTTCGTGGAAATTATAGACTTTATTTTTAGAATATTCTAAATATCATAAAACAACGTAAACATTCACAACAGATGGGAATAGGGTGTTATTTATAATAGTAATAATAATGTCATTATGCGTTACCGTAATAATTAATCGTTATGAATATATCGTCTCTCATGACGTATTTATAATTATGTATAAGTAAGTTTTTTTCTCTTTTATTTATTTATATAATAATTACTCATCGGGTATCCTCTCGACAATGATAATTATAATAGTGAAGACGATATTAATAATGATAAGAATCGTGTAACCATAATAATGATAATAATAATAATAGTACCGATGCGTCTATATACGTGTCATGTATATGTATATATAAACAAATATAATATATATACATATATATATATATATATATGTATATATATGTATATATGTATATATGTATGCTCTTATTTTCTTAAGAAGGGGATAGAGTCACAATGGCGCTAAACAATGTGTATGCGATCTCTGCTCGTTTTTTTTTGTCGTTTCTCCTCGCGATCAGAGAGAGAGTCTCACTTCTATAAAGTATTTTAGCCAAAGATCTCTTAGGAGTAAGTCTCGTAATAATAAGTAGATAATAGTAAACGCACGTATATATATGTACAGTTCTTTTCTTTATCGTTGAATGCCATTCTTCTTGAATGCCGCGAATATATCAGAGTAATAAGCCCGATTATATGGCTCTCGCATGGGTGCCGATTTCGCCCGATGGATGTGCTCCAAGGATAACGCATCTCCCCAGTTCCTTTTCTCTTTTTTCCTTCGTCCCTTTTTATTGATGTGAATAAAGATATCGCGGGCGCAAAATTAGGGATATCTTTTTCCGCGCAGTTTTAAGAGACCAAAGTATCGAAATTTCCTCTTTAGAGATTTAGATGTCATTTTTTTTCGAATAAAATCTAAAGAATGATGGGAAGAAGAGACGCGTTAGGTCAAACTTTGGTCAATCCCTCATCGAACGGATGACTCCTGATCTATTCTGTGAGAGGATGTCACTCAATTTTGATTACTTACCGAGGAACTTTTATTAAAACACACATACGATAATGCGCAGGAAGAAATTTAGCAAATTATTAATTACTAATAATTATTAAAAAAAGGGCCGAGTTTTTATAAAGAAGCATTTTTACTCCGATCACCTTCTTCGGTGGAAATAATTCTTTCGGAGATGAATGCTTCTCTCTAAGAGCCGTTTTAATGATCAATTATCAGTTATCATTTGTCGACTTTCTACGACAAAAATCGAATTACTTTCTCAAGAGATCCTTCCGTTATTATTCCTTTTGTTCTCACGAGGACACGTCACATCCACCGGGCGTCGTTCGCGCGAAAGGAACGAGAGAAACGGAGTCTAAGACTACAAATCTTTTTTTTTTCTTTTTCTTTGGAAAAGTAGTTAAAATCGCAATCCCTAATGTATATTTTCTCTCCTTGCGGCCCGTCAATATCCTGGCCGGCACGTGTCGCGCAATTCTGGAATTATTTTATCATGTAAAACGCCAAACACACACGAGATGCTGGCAGAGCGTAGAAAATAGATCTAATTAAACGACACACTATACAGGTACAATTATTAAATAGGGAAATGTGGCCACGCCGTGTGTGTGTGTGCACGCTTGCAGACTTCGCCGCGAGAAAATATATATCGTGAAATGTGTGGGTGTGTGTGTGAGAAATGAACGAGCATTCGCGGAAGGTGTCCTATATTCGACTCGATCGAAGCGTTTGTAGCCAAACAATGTGGGAATAATCGCGAAACAAGGGGTCTCCCGATGGGAATACGGCTACCAGGACGTTAATGCACCTACAAGACCGATCCTTTCGTTCATTTCCTGGGACACGGTGGTCAGTCGTTCGTCAAAGAGAGCGATTGGGGAGGTGTCTCTGTCTCTTTCGCGCATCATTTGCAAAAACAATCGTGATGCGAGTGATATGCAGGACATGGTGCACGCCTCGAACAATTGGGCCCACGACGTACGATGTACCAATGTCGGTTAGCGAAGTGGGAAATGCGATGGGGAATTTGTCAATTACGCGTTTACGTACTTATTGCTCGCTCGATCTGGCAAGGATCGGGGTATCTCATCACCGGTCCGATGAAAAAAAAAATTAATTCTCTTCGGCGTACATTTATATTTAATCGTAGCAACGAACTCTCTAAAAGTGAATCAGTGAAAGTATCACTAATTTAAACAGTAAAATAAGATTTCACTGAGAATCAGTGAGTATTTTACTGATCTTCGTGAAAACGCTTATTTTTTTGTTATTTTATCTTATATCTCACTGATTATGGTCGGTTAAAATAAAATTCACTGTAAAATCAGTAAATTTTACTTTAAAATCAGTAATCGCTAGTTCGTTCATTTACAATCGCTATCTCTCTCGTATTTAATTTTAGTTTCAAGAATTATATAAAGTTTGCAAAGAGCGACATTTAAAATTAGAAGTATTACTTCGATTTAATTTCTGATACAATCTCATAGAGAGGCTTCAGATATTAAATCGATCTTTATAAGTCGAACAAATAAATATCTGGCGACTTAATGAAAATTATTCGTTCGTTATCTATTTAAAATAACAAGTTCAATATGCATGTAATATAAATAAAATAAAATTTTTAATATAATAAATATTTAGTAAATATAAATAAAATTTTTAATTTTATATGAAA